TTAAGAATGCAGTCTTCCTTAGCTTGTTCATTTGTGATACTCATCAGGAATGCACAGCTAATTTTATCAAATGCTTTTTGGGGACCATCTGTTCGGATGATGATGTGGTCTCACTTTTTATCCTACTTACAGAATTAATTACATCAGTAGATTTTTTTAAAAAAGAAATATCAACCCACCCCCGCTTTCCTAGAATACCCGTTAGTTGCTCGTGAACATTCATCTCTCAGTGCTGTGCAAGGGATAGCAATACACTCGCTGGCTAGGGTCTGTGGTGCTGTGTGACGGTCAGCTCTGGGGTCAGGGTCTGGTGGATTCAAAAAGTAAATAATACATGTTTTTGTTTTGTTTTGTTTTGAACATGGCATGGTGGCTCCCAGTTTGTAATCTAGCACCTGAAATCCTGCAGCAGGAGGATTGTCACAAATTTGTGGCCACCCAAGGCTATGTTACAACAAAATCAAGACTGATGAATCGTGAATGCCTCTTTCTCCGTATTTAAGCCATTTAGGGCTTCCTGTTGCGTGTGTGGCATTCTTCGTCTCTCTCCAGTCTTCGAGGAGTGGTGTGAGGATTACAGAAAAGTTAATTGGAAGAAACAAAATTCTCCTTTCCCTGTTGAACCTCATAGGCTCAGCCTTCCCCACCATCGACCTCCGGTACTACATCAGTACCTTTGTTAAGGGATGAGCCTTCAATCAACACATTGTCACTCAAAGTCGTGGTGACATTAGGGCTCTCCCTTGGTGGCATGTGCTATAGATTTTAAGAACTGTATGATGTCATGTAGTCACCATTACAGTGTCTTAAAAATACACACCCTACCTTCCTCTTGTCTCCTAGCTCCCTGACAACACTCATCTCTTGTTTAGTTCTCTGTAATTTCACATTTTCCAGTGTTGTAGAGTTGGGGCCTCACGGTGTGCAGTCTTTTCATATCGGCTTCTTTTACTTAGTGAAAGGTGTGTGCTTTGTGTCTGTCGGTTCCTGAGTTGATAACTCGTTTCTCTTTCACGGTGTACAGCATCGCACAGTCTGGCTGCCCCAGCGTTTGCTGGGCGCTCACCCGCTGAAGGGCACCTTGACCACCGCTAGATTTTTGGCAGTTATAAACAAGGCTGCTAGAATATAATATGCAGGGTTGGGGCAGGCATATCCTCCGCTCGTTTATGTAAATTTGGTTGTTTGGTAGACTGTGTTTAGTTTTAAATTAAACTGTCAGTGTTTTCCTATGTTGGTCCTACCTTATTGCCTTGAAAATTAATATTGTTATTCGGGTGATGTTAAGATCTCATTGGCCCTTCTTATGTGGCTTGGCCTCTTTAAACATAGTCAGCATATTTTTGATTAGAAGACTTACTTCATCAGGTTAGGAGATTGTCTTTATTTTTTTTAAGTGTTTTTATTACATTTTCTTTATTTGTATATTATACATTAATAATATTACTACATCTGTGGCACATGCGTGTGAAGATGAGAGGACAACTTCAACACAGTGTTCTCTCTCTACCATGTCAGTTTTGGGGACTGAACTCAGGTCACCATATTTGGGGGCAAAGCATCTTCATTCACCAAGACATCTCACTGACTCCATTTTCTTTGTTTCTTTAATGTTTATTTGTTCATAGACTCTGTTCTCTAATGTACAATAATGGTGTAGGAGGTTCTTCTGTCTGTGTTGCTTTCATTGGTTGAATAAAGAAACTTCCTTGGCCTTTTGATAGGGCAGAACTTAGGTAGGTGGAGTAGACAGAACTGGATGCTAGGAAGAAGGGCAGAGTGGCAGACACCATGGTTCTCCTGCCTGAGATGGACACTGGTTAGACTCATGCTGGTAAGCCACAGTCAAGTGGCAATACACATTAATGGAGATGGGTTAAACTAATATGTGAGAGTTAGCCAATAAGGGGCTGGAGATAATGGGCCAGGCAGTATTTGAATGAATACAGTTTCTGTGTGGTTATTTTGGGGGTTAAGCTAGCCGGGAGGCTAGGACCAAAATCAGGCCCTCTCACACAAGCAGCCCGGCCGGGACAAATAAACCCGTTCTCCCCACTACTGCACAATATTAATTACAGAAATATAGTTGAGTTCTGGGCATGGTGCTGTGTGCCATCCAGGACTTGGAAGGTCGGTGCTGGAGGATTGTAGTCTGAAGCCAAATTAGGCCATGTCATGTGTCCCAGGCCAGTATGGAACACATGGAGAAAGGAAGTCTCAAATAACCAAAAAGGAAAAAGCACGTTTGATTTCCAGACCTTCCTTTTCCTTCTCTCATCTTTTAATGCCATCTTTTTCTGAGTTATAAAGAATGTTCTGGGTTGAGCTCCTAATTAAAAATAAACATCCTGGGCTGGCGAGATGGCTCAGCTGGGTGTTGTTGCTCACTCCCAAGCCTGAAGATCTAGTGTGGGTCAGGACCCGCATGGTAGGAGGAGAAACTGACTTGTGCAAACTGTCCTCTAACACACACACACATACACATGCACCAGCAGCAGCAGCAATGACAAATATGTAAAATTAGGAAAACCCTGGTTGCACAGATTGACTATGTATGTAGAGCACAGACGAGGGAATTTTTACTGTTTCTCCTTGTGGAGCCCAGTGACCGTGGTTGGATACAGCCTCTTCTCTATCGATTCTTCTTTATGCACTCATTGAACAGAGGGACTCTGGTCTTGGCTGCCTTGGGATTAGTATCTATAAACATTTATGTAGAACTTTTCCGAGCGTGTTGCCTCCGAGGCCTTGGCGAGCCCTCCCCTCGGCTCGCCCGTGGTTTTGTTTTCTAGGCCCCCCTGGCAGCACTCAGCTTGCTGGCAGTGTCTCCTTTCTCTAACTGACCTGAGTGTCCAGGTAAGGAACCTGCTGGCCACTCTCCCTGCATTTTTGTCAAATGACAGGATGCCTGGAGCCCTGGCTGGCTTCTCTGGGATAGACACTCTCAGTCGTCAAGGTCACCCAGCTGTTTGTTGCTGAAGCCCACCTCTGGGCTTTTCTTCCACCTGGCTGTCTCTTGCACAGTTTTTGGACAGCCCTTCCCAGGTATGTCCTCGGAACTTACTAGGGCCAAAGATGTGATTACTAACTTCTACTGTGGAACACTATTTTCCCATGCTTAATTCTTTGGTCTCGTTATTGATAACTTAGGACGATGAGCTAGTTAAATGCATCGGTGTTAATTATGGTCTGCAAACAAAAGCTAAAATAATAGAAATTTTTGATGGGTCCGACTACAACAGTGATTTATTCTCTGCCACCACTAGGTGGTGCCACCAATTAGTGAAAACAATGTGGTTGTTCTTGCGGGTCAACCAAGAACCACCCACAGCCTTGTGTGGAACATGTATGAACAAGGACATGTGTGCATGAATAGGTGCACACACAAGTAAGAAGCTCATGAGTCCCCACAGGATGACACTGGCTTTAAAGTGTACTTGTGCCTGCAAAGGCATTCGCTGAGTTGAGACACCCTGGAAAGCATGGGATTGAAGAGAGAGAGTGGGAACTTCTAAAGTCTTGCACACCAGCTGGTAGTCTAAAAGCCCTGCCAAAGAAAGGTGCCTGTGGTGTACTGCTGCAGGGGGAAATACAACGACAGAACCACAGGACGGCTTTTCTGAGGCCGGGACTATGCCATCGTAATCAGTCCCCCTAAGGCCTGTGTCCAGTCAGGCCATTCAAAATGACCAGGGAAGCAGTCACAGAAATCAAAGTCGGGAAATACTATCCCACAGCGGACACGAGGGAGTTACTTCTGAAGCCCCGGAGACGGCAGCCTCTAAGTACCCAGAGCAGCTAATGAGATCCCAGTTTCTATCCAAGTGGAGAGAAAATGTGTACCTCATAAACTAAATATGCCCTGTGTGTATCTGCTCTCTCAGTCCCTGGCCCCCCGTGCTCACCCTTACTGTGCACCTCTTCTGCCGTCTGTGGAGGTCCCAACAGCAGGAAGTGTCCTCAACCCCGGACAGCTCTCCCCACTGCCAGTAAAGTGCTGTTGATTGCTTGTGGTAGACACTAACCCCCAAAGGTGAGAGACACGGGCAAGTTTCTTCCCCTCTCTGGCCTCAGTTTCCCTAGGGTGTGCTGAGGGAGGATGATTCCCAGGGGGGCATTAGGAACGACTGTGGGTCTTCAGGTCTGCGCACTGCAGCCCCTGGCTTGTGTGGAGTGGGCGTCTCCTTGGAGAAGTCCCGGAGAGAGGTTCTCTGTCTAGCCTTCTCTTCTGCCGATCCCTCTTCCTCTCCCGCCTCCTCACAGCTCCCAGCAGGCTTTCTCATCACTGTGCCTCTAGGGAAGACAGCTGGCTCCAGAGCCCCAGAAGTCTACAGGAGGAAAGTTCAAGTGACATCTCCAGAGGGCTGGCGACACCTCTCAACTTGGTCAAAGGTGACATTTAGCCCTTTGAGCCGCTGCAGGTTTTTACTGAAGATATCAGAGAAAGCAGCCAAGGTTGGGTATAGAGTAGAAGTACCCTAGAGGTCACCTCTGCCATGGGACCTCACAGAGGGAACAATGGGCCCGAGGAAGAGCCTTGCCCAACTTTACCGGGTGGAGCTTGAGAGCCAGCCTGGGAGCTTAGCACTTACCAGAAGGAGCTAGGAGGAAGGGACTGAAGGACCCCTGAGGGTCCAGGACACAGGGCTGGGGCTTTGGGGAGCATCCCCAATGCATTAGAGATCCCAGTCAGCTTGCAGATGACAGGGATGCTTTGGGAGAATATGAGCCTCATTTGTGATGACTGGCGATTGCGAGTTTCAGAGTCAGTAATGAGACTGTTGAAGACACACATTTCGATCACTGTCTGAGTCCCCAGCCAGGTAGGAACGGCCTGAGCTCTGGGGCAGGGAGAATGAGAGAACAAGGAGACTGACAGCCATTGAGAGTGTTGATCTGGAGCCCAGAGGCTGGCCTGTGTGACGTCGAGTGACTGTCTTCTGCTTCCTATTGACCTGACACTGACACCAGCCCTCTGGCTTCCTAGACCCAGCAGGAGAAGCAAGGGCCTCCTTGGACGGTGGACTGTGGTTGGCCCTTATCAGGCTCCAGTCATCCCTGACTGAGGTTCATAAGCCTTGGGGTGACTCTCTGGACAGCCTCTGACCCTTCACCACGGAGGACACTGCAGGCTGCCATCACAGAGCCTGGGAGTTGTGTGGGTCCAAACCCTACACCTTTAATCTCTGTAGAAGGCCAGAGGAGGCCCTCCCTCTGCCTGGAGGCAAGAATAGACAGATCTTGACCTCTTATCCCTAAAGTCAGGGCCCTTCCCTCAAGCAAGTCAGTCCCACAGCTCCTCAGCCTCCACCCACTCTTCCTGCCCAGCCTCCCCTCAAACAGCCTTCTGGCCTTGCTCTGGGTTGAGAAGCTAGTCCAAACAGGCCTCTCCCACATTCCCTGGCTGCTCTCCAGCTTGTAGGAGCCGAGAGAACCTTAACTTCAGGGACTGTGAGGGCCGAGCAGGGGCTGCTAAAGGGAGCCACCGAGTGAAGCGGGGAACTTCAGATGTTAGGCTTCCAGATGTTAGGCCTTCTGGGGAACACAAGCCTCGTGAGCTGGATCGCAGGCATTGTGCTGGCTCTCCTAATGTTGGTCATGCTGTCGGCCGTCTGTCTTTTCCACAGATCACGGGAGCATGACGTGGAGAGAAACCGAGTCCGGCAAACCCGGCCTCGACTCTTCCACGGCCGGCGCCTGGGTCTCCTGGGAGTCTCTCACCATCACCATCACCGTGGCCATGTGTCTGGGGTGACCAGTGCAGGCTTTCATCACCACCACCAGCATCTCCATCGCCAGCATCACCGTTCGCCCCATCGTCTCCACCACCATCACCACCATGCTCGCGGAGTCCGCCACTGAGGCCAATGGATGGTACCTACCTGGCCCTGCCCTCCACCCAGCACCGAAATGAGTGGACCCTGATGTCTCTGTAGAAAAGGATGTGTCTTTGGGGCCTATGAGGGGGACTGAGTTTGGCTTGGGTTTCATTTGTATATGAGCCCTTCTTCCACTGTGCAGCAGAGACCTGAGAACCACTTGGGTAACTATACACTGTAAGGCTTGGGTTTGGAGCAGGGCTGGCTGGACACCCTACCTTGTGACTACAATCCCTGGTGACACCGGAAGTAACAAGGGTGTCTGGTAGAACCAGTGCCCCAGTGGATACGAAGTGCTCGTCTGAGTGGGAAGACCCTGTGATGACCTTCAAGGGGCAGAATGTGTGGGACAGCCTGGCCCATACATTGTTCATCCAAACGTTCATTGTTGCTTGGCTATAACAATAAAAGCCACCAGAAATGGTTCTTGTGATGTGAAATGGGTCTTAGTTGTAGCACAGGGGGAGGAGGCAGCCGCTAGGGCCGCGTCACAGATCCCTGGGAACTCTTCTGGGATGAGCAGCTGGGCCTGGGATCTGCCTGTAGAACGGGGAGAAGTAGGTGGTCCCTGCCTAGGGTACAAGGAAACATTCAGTGTGGACATCCAGGGCTTTGGAGAAAGGACAGCTGAGATCACACAGACTAGTCTCCTGAGCAATCAGTGCATCTCCCAGCCTGGTCCAGGGCAGGCGCCACCCCCTAACTGCACTGGTTCAGTGTTTCTTTGGGAACTGGGTAGAGATTCTGCTCCTGACCTTGAGTCTCCAGCCAGCCTGTTAGCACATTCACAGCCTGTTAGCGGATTCACAGTAGCATCTGATAGGACCAGAGGGAGGGAACAGAGTTATTTAAATCACTTGGAGTGCTGGGTGGCCTTAAGAGGTGTTTGCTGGCCTGGACCTCAGTTTCCCCTTTCTTAAAATGGCATGGATAGTGGAGACTTCTACCAAAGTCAACAGGCATGCAAGGTTGAGCCCACGAAGGGGAAGGAGATCTTGTCCCAAGCTAAGCCTGGGAATGAAGGAGAAGCAGGCCAAGGCTCATGGGGGAGGGAGCTGGCGAGACAGTCAGTGACTCACTGGAATAGAATGTCCCTTTTCCTTCCCTTTCCCAGTGGACTCTCTTTGAGGACTAGAGGAGGAGTTACCAGGAGGTAAATGACAATGACGGCCACACTAGATTTCTGGGATGGAAATGTAGATGAGAAGTCTGATGGATTGACTGTCATCTATCAGCTCCACGCGTAGCCCAGCCCAGCCCCGGCTCCTGCTCCTCTCTATTCACAGTCTCCTGCCTTCTGCCTGCCTGCGGACCTGCCCACTTCCATAGCTTCACAGGACCATGACATTAAGTCAAGATGGAAAGAGGGAAAGGTTCAGGTAGAAGGTTACAGGACTGGACAAGTGTCCTGTATTCCTGATGAAGGCCAGGCCGTTCTCCCAGGCAGACTCAAAGAACAGGCAAAAGAGAAGCAAAATAAACCATGAGGCTCGCAATGACCTCCGGGGCTCATCTCCCAGCCCCGCCAGGTGATGCTGAGGGTTCAGATACCTCTGATGTGTGTGTCTCCTGTTTACATCTCTCTAATTCTGGTGGTCCCAATTAAGACGAATGTTGTCAAGTGCTTGACTCCGTGTACCCACGAGGAGGATAAGCCCAGATTGTTGTAGCATCTCAGAAAAGGGGCTGGGCTAGAACAGGACTGTGCATTGTTTCCTCTCCTTCTCTGTAGTAAGCGGTTTGCCTACACTGTTACTAAAGTTCTCTTGGACCCGGGAGAAACTGGAAAAGTTCCTGACTGTATGACCTTGGGCCCAGCTGTCTCTCTTCTGGGCGGTGTTAGGGGCCTGATCAGGCACATGGTGATCTGGTGGTCGCTCTGACTGGTTCCTGTGAAGAGCGAGCTGGCATACAGGAAGGGAACCCGTGCTCTGTCCTGGTGCTTCCTTATCCTCACTAACTGGCAACAGTCCTGGGCAGGCGTACCTGCTCTGTGGCTATACCTGTGCCAACGGAGGTGCCAATCACGGCATAGGGCTGTGGGACCAGTGTTTATGAGACCGGCCTGGCTGTGTCCAGTTCCCGGAAGGCTCCATTTTCCATAATATGGGCAAAGGGCAGGCCGATAACAGCGATTCCTTGCCAGATGTGGTGCTCTCAGGAGGCGCCTGGTTTGAGTGGGCTGGGGCCGAGCTCCCTCCTGACACCTCTTCAGGGGCAGTTAAGGAGTGATCCCGAAAGCGCAAGGGTGTGTGGGGCGGGCTGAGTGCTCGAGCTGAGGAGGTGGTGGCTACGGGTTACAGGCCTTCAATCACAATTGGAGGAAGGGATACAGGAAGTACTCACAGCTGCACAGACACCCCCGCGCCAAGATCCAGGCAGCACCAACAAAAGCCACGGCAGGCTTGGGGGAAGAGAGTCATGGCCACCTGGGGTGGTCTCCAGACAAAGAGTCTGACACACAAGGTACAGTTAGAGCTGGCACGCCTCAGATCCGGGGTAAGTCTTCACCGCACCCAGTGTGCTGTGGGCCAGAGTAGTGGGCCCTGGGTGGCGGCAAAGAGGGGGCCCCATGAGGGTGTGTAGAAAAGTGAAAGGGTCCCACGATGCCTCACTGAAGGGGCTGGAGGAGGTCCTTCCCTATCCATGCCACACTTTCCAGCCCTGCCCACGCCACAAAGTGGGGCCAAGTACAGCCTGCTCTCTCTCCCATCTCCCCCGCTGGAGGGCCCCGGCGTCCCTAATGACCTGTGTGTGCTGCCTCACCTCGCTTCCCTTTGTTCGTGGCTGGCGTGTATCCTTCTCCACAACTGCCTCTCAGTCCAGGTCCAGGGGCTGGGAGGGCCACAGAGAGGCCAATTGGAAGGCTGGTCCTGGGTCTCCCCTACTGGAACCAGGCTCCTCCTGGATCCACCAAAGGGGAGGCTTTTGTCTTTCTCAGTGTATGTTTGTTTTAATTTAATCAGTCACTCTTGAAGTCCTGAGGCCTTGATAATGGGCCAGGGCTGGCCTGGCCTTTCTCTCAGCATCTTCTGCTCCTCCTTGCTTCCCTTGCCCCCTCCATGTCCAGGGAATCACGGCTTACATCTTCCCTGATGGTGCTTCTAGAAGCCGCTAGTGGGGTTGACCACATCTCTTGGAGGTCTGACCCGAGGTTAAAAACCAGACAAAAGATCGCCTGGTTCCAGCAGAAGGATTCGTGGCCTAGGATGGTACAATCCAAGGCCTCAGACCAGCGGGAGGAGCGACGGGCGCCCGGCATAGAGCCCCTGTGAGTTTCTGATGGGACCCTGAGGCTCAGAGACCGCCCACTCGGAAACCATGGAGACGGCAGTGATCGGAATGGTGGCCGTGCTCTTTGTGGTCACCCTGGCCATCACCTGCATCCTCTGCTACTTCAGCTATGACCCGAAGACCCAGGACCCAGAGAGAGTACCCAGGAGCAGCTTCACCGTGGCCACGTTCCATCAGGAAGCGTCTCTCTTCACAGGGCCTGGCCTCCAAGCCCGGCCCCTGCCGAGAGCCCAGAACTTCTGGACTGTTGTGTGAGGCTGGCGGGGCCCCTCAGCGGTCGTTCTGCTAGTGGGTCAGGCCCGCCTACCCCTTCAGCAAGCGTTGTCTGGTGTCTCACAGCTCTCAGGCCTCCTTCTTTGTCTTTCCATGTTCCATAAACTTCTTGCCTTCTTCCATTTCTGCTGGCTCTGCCCTGTGTCCTGAGGAAGCTGAAGTGCTGGGATCAGGTGTGAGTTACCGCTAAGCTGTGCCCTACTCACCACAATGGGGCTGAGGAGCCTGAGGAGGTGTGGACAGACACTGCGTGGCATTCTATGGTGGAGTGGCTCCAGCCAGCTATGGAACCTCACTCCAGGTTAGTTTAGCACCCTGTCAGTAGGATGCCTGAGACAAAGTCTACTTGCCACCCAAGGAACCAGCGCCCTCAAGTGGACATTTTGATGAACTACTTCTTGTTTGTTTGTATTTTTGGATGCCCTGTGACGCTCGACCCTGAGATTTGCTCCTTAATCAGCCCTGAAATTCTGACACCAAAGAGCTGTTTTCCGGGAACAAGTGACTTAGTTTATAATTGCAAATGTATATCCTTTTATGGGTCTTTCCAAATCTGCTTTGGAAAACCACAAAAGGAAGCAGAATAGAAAAAGACCCACAGAAAGCACAAGGTGTTTCATTACCAGGAAGGCCACCGAGAAGACTTTAAACACGTTTTGAACAAGACTTGCTTTATTGCTATAGTCCGACAGACCGCGTCTATTCTTAGCAGACGTGAGCGATTTGCGTCACTTAGGAATGATAGAAACATCGTGAACTGAAAGATAATTCCAAAAAAGTTAAATGTTGCTACATTTCAGCACATGTGAAGAAGTTGTTGGGGTTTTTTTTAAAACCACAAATAAAAGGACATTTGTTTCTTATTAATAGAAAAATCTGCTCTCTCTATGATTACGGAATAGATGCCATCTCTTATTTAAGGACTAGGATCTGAAGAGTGGGAAGCCATGGGCCTCCTGGATCGTATATCTGCATCTAGCCCTGTATAGCGGACTCTCTCAAGACTTTGTCGAAGGGGACAAGATTGAACAAGGGGGCTCTGGGATGTAGGGGTGTCCAGATGTGGCTGCCGTAGGAAGGACTGAGAACGACAGGCTTGGGTCTGGAGAGATGTGGAGGTGGAGACGGTGAAGAAGGGGTGCAGGAAGGGAGCCAGGCTGCTAGATGGGGTGGGGGTGGGGTGAATCTCGGGAGGTCACAGGAGCTCCTGGAAACATGTCCTTGTCACTCTGGATGCCAAGTCCTGGACTCGGGCTTCCATCGATAGGCCAGAAGGAGGGCAGGGGATCCTGGGGACTAAGCAAGGGGACTCCCTGCAGGCCAAGGGTCAGTGTGGTGTTGAGATGTCTGCTAGCGATGGGTGAGGTGGAAGCAGGCCTGGGTGGAGGAAGAAGTCAAACTGAGTCAGCCTTAGCTCCCTCTGAGGGATTGCTCGCCAGTGGTCTGGCTTCACCCGGGCAGAGCTCTGCCCCAGGCGGGCTCAACGGGCCAGACCTTTCCTGAAAGTCCACAGGTTCTCTGCAGAGTCCTTTTCCCAGGGACACCTAGACTGCTTGGAGTTGGGGTCCCCAGGTGCAATGAAGCACATGAACACAGGAGCCTGTGTTGGAGAGGGAGAAGGACCCTTCCCAAGTGGCTTTTGGTTATGGTGTTTGATCGCAGCAATAGATACCCTAGCTATGACACGATCCATCTCTCACCCAATCACATGCCGTGTCCTTTTTCTTCAATAACCCGTGTGTTTTATTCATTCATTCCTTTACCCTTTCACCTGTCCTCCAGTGAGCGCGGCCAGAGCTCTGTGTGCTCAGAGCAGGTGGAAGTCAGGCAGTCCGGGTCCTTGCACTAACTGATGGGAACAACAATCTTTAGTTGCCCGGGGATGGCGGTGGGGATCCCAGGGAAATTCGAGAGGAAGAGGTGTCTGAGCTGGACTGGAGGGGAGAGGGAGACCAGCGAGCAGATCCAGGAAGTTGCTGGCGTAGGGAACCTGCAGGGCAGAGAAACAACAGCTTGGCCTGGCCCGAAGGAGGTGAGACTAGACACCAGTCACCTCCTAAAGGAAGTATGTTTCCAGGAAATCGATGCTAAGCATACTACCGAGGCAGCCTTGCTTGTTCGGGCTAGGCAGGTGTAGGGTCCAGGCATGAATGAGGGCAGGGCCACCTGCTGCTGCTGCGGTGGGGAGGGGGCTCTTGAGGCAGAACATGGACCCCCCAGGCTCTCAGAGGACTGTGGCAGTGGGTCTCAGGGCAGGGAGATGGTGTCCAGAAAAGGAGGAGGACTTCAAAAAGGGATGGTTGTCCTCCCTGGAGCAAGTGACAAGGGAAAGGGGTAGGGATACAGCTAGGGCAGGGGCAGGAAGGTGGGGAGGACGCAGAATGAGAATCTAGGGAGTAGGGTTGCCAGTTTTAATGAATAAAAACATTATACTTACAGATAAGCTGGAGATTCATGTAGATGATAAGTAATTTCTAGTATAAATGTATTTCATGAGGTATTTGGAAAGCACACTGAAACCTCTATTGGCTGTATAAGGTTAAGTGTTACAGGGCATTCTATCTGGTAACCCCATGGGGACAGGATAAGTCTGAGAGGCTGGGGAGCTGGCTAAAGACAGTAGGAGGCTGTCAGAAGAGAGACTAGAGAAGAGGTCCCTGAATCTTGCCACATAAGGGTTGACAATGGCATTGGTGAGTGAATGGCCATTATTTTAGACTGTGATGTGTGCATGGTTTGTGTATATGCATGTGTATAGATGGTGTGTTGCATGTGTCTGCTGTGTGTCATGTATATGGTTCATGATATGTGGTATATGCAATGTGTACAGTACCTGTGTAGTATATGTGGTATCTTAGGGTTTCCATTGCTGTGATGAAATACCATGACCAAAGCAACTTGGGAGGAAAGGGTCTGTTTGGCTTACATTTCCACATCACTGTTCATCATCAAAGGAAGGCAGGACAGGAACTCAAACAGGGCAGGAAGCTGGAGGCAGGAGCTGCAGCAGAGACCATGGAGGGGTGCTGCTTACTGGCTTGCTCCTCAGGCTTGCTCAGCCAGCTTTCTTATAGAACCCAGGACCACCAGCCCAGGCATGGCACCACCCACAGTGGGTAGGGTCTTCCCACATCAATCACAAATTTCAAAAAATGGTACAGCTTGTTTTTTTTTTTTTTTCAGCTTGGTTTTATGGAGGCATTTTCTCAACCGAGGTTCCTTTCTCTCAGATTTCTCTAGCTTGTGTCAAGTTGACATAAAATTAGCTAGCACATATGGTATGTGTATGACATGTAATGTGTAGAATGTGATACATATACTGAGGGGCAGTATGTTTTTGAGGGTATATGGTGTGTGTATATGGATTATATTTTGTATATGTGGTATGAGTGTGTGTATTGTGTGCTTCTGGTGTGCTTGGTGTGTGTGTGTGTGTGTGGTTTGACTGTGGCTGGTGCGGCATGCTTGTGTGCTGTGTTATATGTGTCTGGTATGTGTGATATTTGTATGGTGCATGAGGGATGTGGTGTGCCATTTTTCCCCTGCAGCCTGTTGGGTAAGCAGGAGAGACCTAGCAACAGTCAGCAGGGAGCTCTCTTACTGCCAAAGGCTGTCTTCTACCCACTGTCCCCAAGAGAGGAAGGTAGCAGTAGAAGGACAAGACAGAATGGCCCTGGAATACCAGCAAAGTGGGGAATGGTTAGCCGGCGGTGGTGAGGGAGGGCAGCAGCTGCTCCAGGCCAGCCTAGGAATCTGGGCCAGAGCCACCCTGGCCCCCGCCCTCCCAGTTCCAAATCTAGTACTTTTTCCACTTGCTCCGGAGCTACGGCCAGTTTCCATGGAGTCTCCCACTGCAACAGGCACTATGTTCTCACCATATATTCTCAGTACCCAGGGCACCCCATGGTCTCCATCACACCGGCGTGGGTACCCAGCTGCTGTGTGTGAGTGCTTTGGGCCAGTAGAAACTCCTCCGGAGCAAGGCTGGGCTGCTTATAATGTCTGTGTCACCTCAGCAGGATCCCGTTCACATCTTCAGGAGTTACAGAAGCTGGGGGACCAGGCTCTTCAGGCTTAACTAAGCAAATCTTACTGACACCCACCTCTGGTTGCATATCTGCTTTGAAGATAGGGCCTTTGCTACCTGCAATCTCTCTTGGCAGTTCCTGAGCCAAGAGCATCCCTTGAGGAGCCACCTCCAGCCCCCGCTGAGGGCTAGGACCCTGGAAAAACAGACTTCAGTCCACTAAGGCGTGAAGCTCCTGGTCAGATTAACTGCATCTTGCATCTACAGGTCTGTGTGGGTTCTGGGCACTCCAGCCTGTGCGTGGCAGTCCTGGGCCTCTACCATAACGTGCTGAGGTGCAGAGATGAAAAGCCTACCTAGCTTGTTTGCAAGATGAAAGATGGAGATTCTAGTCTGTAGCTGTAGGAGGCAGGGGGAAGGGCACCCCTACTGTGGCCTCTCTCCACAGTCCCTGGCTCTGAAACCTGGCGGGTTTCTCTGTGGGACTTGCTGCATTCTGGAATCAAGAGGCCTTGAAATAACATGTTTTCCGGAAAAGTACCTTCCTTAGAGGAAACCACTTGTTCCAAGGAATAGAAAAGGGTCATTGTGTCTTGCCAGGTCCCCATTCCTGAGGTCATGACACTTGAAAAGGCAGGCACAGTGGGAGACATAGAGGCCTGCGACCTCCCTATGCTCCCACCCAGATGCCCCCATTCAGCACATCTGCAGTTAGAAGCCCCTCAAGTGCTAACAGGAGAGGCTGATGGGCACATCCTAGCAGCCATAACCATCCACAGCAGGCAGCCTTCAAAATAATGAGGCCAGTCAGCAGCACAAACCAAGATGGCCTTGAGTCAGCTCCAGCAGTTGATCCTATTCTTGTTGCTGAAGCAGGTGGTGTGGACGTGGGTCTGGGCACTAAAGAGGGCTGCGGGCTTGGGGGATGAGGGCTTTGGACCATCGTGGGGTGAGGCTAGGAAGAGAGGAATTGCACTCCCATGGAGCAGGACGGTGCGGTGGTCATGCCCTGGTCACTGGGGAGTGTGCGCATTGAATACTCCAGTTGTATTCTATGGAAACGGGATACATGAGTATAAATATGTAAATCCAATGGTGTTCTTGGAGCCTTGTTCTAATTGCAAAATACTGTAAAGATCCAAGTGTCCATCAGTAGGGAAATACAGGAGCAAATTATGGTACAGCTCCAAAGTGAGATAATAGAGACAGAGACAATAAATACAGCCACGGTGTCAGAAAAGACAAAAGGGGCACCAGTCAGGTGCGGGATCACTGCCTGTCATCCCAGCACACGAGACAGGAAGATTAGGAACTCAAGATCGCCTGGCTGTGTTAGTGAATTTGAGACCAGTCTCAAGAACAAACCAAGAAGCCAAGCAAGAGCAACAACAGAGACTGAAAAATAGAAACGAAAAATCCTCCTCCATCAACAGTAAAAACGAAGCCTCCTAATTTAGGGGCCTGAGGTGATAGCTCGGAGGTTAAGAGCTCTTGAGAGAACGCCAGCTCGGTTCCCAGCACCCAGATGGCAGCTCGCAACCGTCTGTAACTCCAGGATCCCTGCAATCCTCTGACTGCCTCCAGCCCCTGCACACACATGGTACAAATACATACACTCAGGCACACACACTTTACACATAAATATTCTTAGACATTTCCTAACTTACATATTACGTTCGTGCTTGTGTGACTCTGGAATAAAAGCTCAGAAAGGTGTGGTGGCGGCAGGCGGCAGGTTTGGACGGAGGGAAGTGTAGGGACTAGCCATGAACAGACTCAACAGAGACCACTCAGGCACCACCCAGGAACAGACCATCCAAGGGTAACAGAAACTTCCACTTTGGTACCTCTTGAATGTCTACCTTATTTGAACAAGCATGTTTAGCTCTTTTATCATGTGTCATAATTTTTAATTAATTAATTAATAATTAATTAATTTTAAGAGATGATCTCTCTCTACTTATCTGTGGCTGTCCTGGAACTCACTATGTAGACCAGGATGGCCTTGAACTCACATCTCGTCACTCGCGGAGAACCTGGCTGAAGACATAGCTCTCTCCCTGGAAGCCAAAAAACAAAAGATGAGAAAGAGGGCCAATGTCCTGATGTTCCATTCAAAGATGTATCCCCAGTAACCTCACCTCCTTCGGTGAAGCTCCCTTCACCCCAAGGGATCCACTGCCTTCTGATGGCACTGGTAAGCAAGCCCATAACATGTGAGCTTTCGATGCACATGTCAGATCCAGGCTACAGCACAAATGCCTCTTCCCAACAGGAAGTTATGCGGCCACAGTGATGAGCTGTGAATAGAGTCTTGATGTCTTGCATGAGCCAGGTCTTCTACTTGTGCAAAGCTATCCTCCCACCCACACCCCGCACCGTTTCCTTAGCCCCCTCCACAAGCCTAGATCTAGTATTTGTATTAACAACTATTTACAGGGGAGGAAACAGACCCAGAGACTCCAAAACCCCTGCCCCTGCCCCAGATGCTCAGCAAATTGTTGCAAGCTCAAAGTCAGAACTATATCTCTTTATTTTTTGTGTCTTTCAGATGGAGGCTCATTTCTGTTGCTCTCACGCCTTAAAGAAAGGTCCCCCAAAACACAGGGTCTCAAAGCAACAGGAGCAAAGAAAAGCAAAACTCTAGATTCCCTCTTTTCTACTGTATTTCCAAGGTGGGGCTTTTTGTTTTGGAAAAAGTTCTGCTGCTTTAAAAGACACAGGGCTCAGGAGAATGTTTCCAGATTCCGAGCTGAGCTGAGCGTGGTGGGGTCTGCCAGCAATCCCAACTCTTGGTACCCAGGTGGGAGAAGTAGCAATTTAAGATTGACCCGAGTTAAGTGAGACCCTGTCTCAAAAAACAAAACAGGTCAACTGTGCATGTATAACTTTAATCTCAGTACTCAGAAGGCAGAGGCAGGAGGATCTCTTTGAGTTCCAGGTCAGCCATGGCTACATAATGAGATCCTGTCTCAAAAATAACACACACACACACACACACACACACACACAAACACAAAAGTTCAAGAAAAATAAAAAGTTAGAGGCTACCCTGGACTACATGAAACTATCTCAAAATCAGGGTGACGGGGGAGGGGATTTACATAAGATAGATGCCAATTTTAAAAGTTCACTTAAAGTTGGGCGGTGGTGGCACACACCTTTAATCCCAGCACTTGGGAGGCAGAGGCAGGTAGATCTCTGAGTTCGTGCCCTCAGAGGTAAAAGGAGGGAATGGGATCTCCTGGAACTAGAATTACACACGGTTGTGAACTGTTATGTAGACGCTGGGGATTGAACCCAGGTCCTTTGGAAGAGCAGTAAGTGTTCTTAACCACCAAGCCATCTCTCCAGCCCTCTACATAGAAATTTTCTTTTCAAATTCATCTATTATTTTACATCCTGGCTGCAGTCTCCTCCCATCCTCCCTTCCCGGTCCCTTCTCCCCACCCAATCCCCTTCTCTTCCTTCTCCATTCAGGAAAGGGCAGGTCTCCCATGAGTATCAATAAATCATGGCAAAATGAAGTTGCAGTAAGACTAAGCACCTCCCCATGTATTAAGGCTGGGCGAGGCAACCCAGTATGAGGAGTAGGGTCCCAAAATCCAGTAAAAGACTCCAAGACAGCCCCTGTTCCCACTGCTAGGAGTCCCACAAGAGGACCAAGCTTCACAACTGTAACATATATGTGAAGTGTCTAGGTCAGTCCCATGCAGGCTCCCTGGATGTCGGTTTGTAGAGAGCCGCGTGATGCCATGCCTTACAGGTGGCACTGATTCCCACCTTCCACCTTCCCAACGGTGAATGCTCTCAGAGGTGTAACAACTCCATATATGGCTAATGCTAAGATCTAGCTTGCTTCTGCGTTTCTGGACCTATCTGCGTCTCCTACGTGGCTTGCTGGGTGTTATGAGTCTGTAAGGACAAATAAGTCCAGGAGTTTTAGGAGACAATATTACATGAATTGATATGAGTTTATAAAAATAAGCCCAGAAATGTTAGACACAATATTAGGTGTCACACACAAAATGAAACTAAAAAGCATGAAGCAATGTGTGCAGTGGTGATAAGAGTTTGAGCTGGTGAACAAGTGTGATGTAACTATATGATAAGCAGACATGTGTGCTAATCTAAAAAGAAAAAAGTACCATAGCCACAAAATAGTATAAAAACTTGAGGCTTACGACCAGGAGGTATTCTCAAAATGACTTGCTAGACAGGCTGTCAGAGCGGTCATAGAGAATCCAACGAACCAGCAACTTCACAGCTGAGACCGTCCAAGAGCCAGAGAACTAGCTCTTGCCTGCGGATCAAGATTTGCTGAACCAGAGGCCTACGTCGAGAGTCACAGACCATTATCAGGTCGTATACACAAATGCCTCAGTAAGATAGAATAGAAGACCTTGCCTAGGACACATAGCAACCTTTGCTGAATGTGTGATGTGATTGATTGACTAGGATTGTTATAGGTGTGATGTTTACTTATATTTGATAGAAGAATAATTAGGGATTTAAATGATTGTTATAGTTTTGATGTTTGCCCATACCTGCTAACAATTGGAGATTTGACTATTGGCATAATAAACTTGTTCCTAGAACAAACACTGTGGTCATCCTGAGTATTTACTTGCAGACCTCTAAGTAAGGGCAGAATGCCCGCTCAGGAATAAGGCTCGCGACACTGGGGTTGGCTACCCAGAGGTTATTTAAGCTGGAGACTGGTTTTTCCTGGGGCAAGAGGTTGTGAGAGGTAGCGAAAGGATGAGAAGATTATTTTAAGGGCCTGAATAAACCGCAGTTAAGAAGAGTCCGGTGTTGCGTCTTCATTGCTGACAAGGCGGACGCGACATTGGTTCAATCTCTGTGAGCCCCTGTAAGTCCAGATTAGTTGATTGTATGAGTCTTCCCATGGTATCCTTGACCCCTCTGGCTCCTACTCTTCTTTCTCCTCCTCCTCCTCCTCAGGATTCTTGAAGTTCACCTAATGTTTGGCTGTGGGTCTCTGCCTCCATCAGTAGCCGGATGATGCTTCTCTGATGGTGATTGGGCCAAGTACCAGTCTGGTCACAGAAAACGGCCAGTTCAGACTACTTATTGGCTATTGCTAGGAGTCTAAGACAGGGCCCGACCCATAGGCTCCTGGAAGATTCCCCTGCACCAGATTTCCATCTCACCCCTGAAATGCCTCCACCAGCAGCCCCCCTCAGACTCTCCCCCTCCACGACCCCCCAAACCCAATCACTCATATTCTCATTCCCACCCACTCTCGGGGTACTCACAAAAATCTCTTCTATTTCTATTTTTCATTCCCAGAGATAATTGGTCCATCTCCCCCCCCTCCCCAACCCTACTTCTTACCTAGTCTCTCTGGGTCTGTGGATTGTAACATAGTTTTCCTTTATTTTATAGCTAACATTCATTTATGAGTGTGTATACACTATGTTTGTCTTTTTCTGTCTGGCTTTCCTTACCAGGATGATTCTTTCTAGTTCCAATCCTTTGCTTTCAAATTTCCTGGTGTTCTTATTTTTAACAGCTGAGTAGTACTCCATTGTGTAAATGTACTACATTTTCATTATCTATTCTTCTGAAGAATAGATATCTAGGTTTCTTCCAGGTTCTGACTATTACAAATAAAGTTGCTATGAACATAGTTGAGCAAGCGTCCTTGTGGTGTGATTGAGCATCCTTTGGGTGTATGCCCAAGAGTGGTATGGCTGGGTCTTGTGGTAGGTTGATTCCCAGTTTTCTGAGGAACCACCACACTGACTTCCAAAGTGGCTGTACAAGTTTGCACTCCCACCAGCAGTGGATGAGTGTTCCCTTTGCTCCACATCCTCTCCAGTATTAGCTGGCACTTGTGTTTTTAATATTAGCCATTGTGACAGGTGTGGAATCTCAAAGTCGTTTTGATTTACATTTTAAGTGTTTCTCAGTCATTTGAGATTCCTTTGTTTAGAATTCTCTGTTTAGATCTGTACCCCATTTTTAAATTGGATTATTTTGTTTGTTGATATTTAGTTTCTTGAGTTCTTTATATATTTCGGAAATCAGCCCTCTGTCAGATGTGGGGTTGGTGAAAATTTTTTTCCACTCTGTAGGCTGCCATTTTGTCCTATTGGTGTTCTTTGCCTTACAGAAACTTTTCAATTTCATGAGGTTCCATTTATTCATTGTCAATCTTAGGCCTGTGCTATTGGTGTTTTGTTCAGGAAGTTGTCTCCCATGCCAATGTGTTTGAGATTATTTCCCACTTTCCCTGTCTTTCTTTCTCTCTCTCTGTCTTTCTTTCTCTCTCTCTGTCTTTCTTTCTCTCTCTCTCTCTCTCTCTCTCTCTCTCTCTTGGTCTTTCAAGACAGGGTTTCCCTGTGTGGCTTTGGTGCCTATCCTGGAACTAGCTCTTGTAGACCATGCTGGCCTTGAACTCACAGAGATCCGTCTGCTTCCCGAGTGTTGGTATTAAAGGCGTGAGTCACCACCACCCAGCCCCACTTTCTCTTTTTATCAGGTTCAGTGTATCTGGATTTATATTGAGACCTTTGATTCACTTGGATTTGAGTTTTGTGCAGGGTGGTAAATATGGATCTATATGCATTCTTCTACACGCCGACATCTAGTTAGACCAGCACCATTTGTTGAAGATGTTTCTTTTTTTCCCATTGTATAATTTAGGGTTCCTTGTTGAAGTCATATGTCCATAGGAGTGTGGATTGGCATTTGGGTCTTTGATTCAAGTTAATTGAGCCACCTATCTGTTTTTACACTAATACCATTTGGTTTTTAATTACTATAGCTTTGTAGTAGAGTTAGAAATCAGGAATGGCGATAACTCCAGAAGTTGTTTTCTTTTTTTTTTGTTTTTTGTTTTGTTTTTGTTTTTGTTTTTTGTTTTTTTTTTCGAGGCAGGGTTTTTCTGTGTATCTTTGGAGTCTTTCCTGTCCTGGAACTTGTTTTGTAGACCAGGCTGGCCTCAAACTCACATAGATTCGCCTGCCTCTGCCTCCCAAGTGCTGGGATTAAAGGCGTGCACCACCATTGCCTGGCTTAGAAATTCTTTTATTGCACAGGATTGTTTTAGACAGTCTGGGTTTTTTGTTTTTCCATATGAAGCTGAGTATTGTTCTTTCAAAGTCTGTAAAGAATTGTGTTGGGATTTTAATGGGAATTGCATTGAATCTGTAGATTGCTTTTGGTAAAATGGTCATTTTTACTATGTTAATCCTACTGATCAATGGGAAATTTTTTTCATCTTCTGATATCTTCTCCAATTTCTTTCTTCAAAGACTTGAAGTTTTTGTCATACAGGTCTTTCGCTTGCTTGGTTAGAGTTATACCGAGTTATTTTGTATTATTTGAGGCTATTGTAAAGGGTGTTGATTCTCTGATTCATTTCTTAGTCTTTTTATTGATATGTCCCTTGTATCCCTGATCTCTCCAAGACTTTTATCATGAAGGGGTGTTGGGTTTTTATCAAAGACTTTTTCAGCATCTAATGAGATGATCATGTGGGGTTTTTCTTTCAGTTTGTTCATATGGTGGACTACATTGACAGATTTTCATAAGTTGAACCATCTCCCCATCTCTGGGATTTCCTCAGGGGTTATAAGTCTATTTAAACGGTTTATCTCAACTTGATTTAACTTAGGTAAGTAGTACCTATCAAGAAATTTTTAAATTTTTTTTATTTTCCAATTTTTTGGAGTACAGGTTTTTGAAGTTTGATTTAATGATTCACTGCATTTCCTTGGAATCTGTTGTTATGTCTCTTTTTTTCCTAATTTTGTTGATTTGGATATTCTATCTTGGTCTTTTAGTTAGTTTGGATAAGGGCTAATTTATTTTGCCAATTTTCTCAAAGAACCAACTCTTTATTTCATTGATTTTTGGATTGTTCTGTTAAGTTGCTAATGTGAGATTTCTCCCGACTCCTCATGAAGGCACTTAGTGCTATGAACTTTCCTCTTTGCATTGCTTTCATTGTGTCCCATAAGTTTGGGTATGCTGTGCACTCATTTTTACTGAATTCTATGAAATCTTTATAATTTCTTTTTTTCTCCCTGACCCAGTGATAACTCATTAGAGAGTTGTTCAGTTTCCATGAGTTTATAAGCTTTCTGTTGTTTTTGTTGTTGTTGAAATCCAGCTTTTTTTAAATTCAGTGGTCTGATAAGATACAGGGTATTATTATTATTATTTCGGTGTCTATTGAGACTTGCTTTCTACATAGAACCTTTCCAAAGATGCTCTTGACTTTCACTTTATGTCAAACAGACTGTTGGAAGGCACAGCATAAGCCTGATTCTGCCAGCTCAGGGTTGATACTGACACTGGCGATGCTCAGGAGTCATCCTAGAGATGGGATTCTGGGAGATAGGAGACTTCACGCATTGAAAATTTTAGAAGAGTTTAGGTGACTTCATGGAGGGTCATAGGGCAAATGGGGCCCAAGGGTGCGATCGTCAATTTTACCCCCATTCGACAGGAACAGGGGTGGAGCTATCGCTACTTCTCCAGGATGCCTCTGTAGTTGGGGGAGGATTTATGCAAAGCATGCGCAGAGTGGGTGCTTCAGCTGAGCAGCATCTAAAGGCCAGTCTGCAGAGTCATGCCTGTCCATAAGAGGTTCCAGGTCTAGTTCCCAAATAAGGAATGTAAAAATTAAGTGTGTGTGCGCGCATGTGTGCGTGCGTGCGTGCGTGTGTGTATGTGTGTGTGTGTGTATTTAGAAACTATATATGTGATATGTTAAATATTCCCCATGCAAACTGCATTTCTCTTACCTTGAGGACATAATATAATGTCCTTTTTTGTTCTGTAGTGGGTGGTATCTTGGAAAAATCATACAAATTGTCACTTAAAAAACCTAACTCTGCTGTGAAAATCTGGTAACCACTGATAAAATGATGCTCTGGCCATCCCTCAATTAGCTTTCTAAGGCGCTGTAGTTTATAAATGTGGCCAGTAGAGGCCACTATTGTGTACAGTAGTGCAGTTTAGGGAAACCAGACGTTATGGTTGCCCCTAAGATTTTTGAGATTTGTTCTGGTCTTGAGGATGTAACCGAGAGGATTCCAAGCCATGTGAAAATTGTCCTGAACTCTAGAGTGGGGTGTGGCCCTGCAACGTCAGAAGCACAATCGGTTAGCAAGTTTTTAGAAGTCCTGTTTTCTCACAGCGGAGAAACGGCAGGTTCTAGGAATTAAGCGTGACTTTCTGTAACCCAGAGCGTGTTAATTCTGGGAAACTGTATTTTGGTTTCCTTAACACTTTAACTATGTAGGGCTTCACAACCCCCCACCCCCCAATCTCATTGTCCCTTTCAGTGAAAAGAGGCAGACTCTCTGGGAGCTGTTTCCTACCCCTGGACTGTATGGTATCCTCACTTACCCATCCATACAGGTGGATCCAGTGGGCATTTTTTTGTCATGAAGCAATATAAATATTAAATACTTATTTTTTCAGAATTTAATGGGTTTCATGAAATCTGTTGGCGACTGCTTTCCTTGTTTCCCATGTTCCCCATCTAACTCTGCATTTGTGTTTTGGATTCTTTTTGCCTTGTATACAGAGGACTAAAGATTAGCACAGACATTCTGACGTTGAGTAAGGTAGTGTGTCAGTGGGTGGTAGAGGTCTTGCTTTTCTCTGTTAGGAAGTTGTTAAAGAATGTATGAAGATAGTCATGAATGTATAGTGTTCGAATCCTGCTCTTAGTTCATGTGGCCGTGTCTGTATGGTGACAAATGTTTGTCAGGGAATAAAGTGTCTAGTGTCATTAACGCTCAGTGCCCTTCCCCTTCAGTGTTGAGCCCCAAGCCTTCCTTTCCTTTAAGTTAGGGGGTGAGGGGTTTATATCAGCAGCAATCATCAACCGACCAATGGGATCTACTTCGTGGTGACTGGATTTGGCCTGATCACACCACAGTGTGGCTGGCCTCTTGGGTTCTTAGAGAGATATCCTGTTTCTACCATTCCCCCAGAGATTGCTTCTTACCTGACTGGGAGGTTCCTGGAGACTCCTGGTTGGAAGTCACTGGGTCATTCTGAAGTGGGGGTGAGGGCCCAGGGCCTGGTACTGCTGTGGGAAGTCCTTGCCTCTTGTAGATCCAGCCTTAATGTCTGACATCCTAGCGTGAGCAGACCCTGCACAAGGTGGATGTCAGAGTTTCTACTGTGAGGAGTAAATAATGCGGACAGTTTTACCAAAGAGAACGAGACACCACATCATGTCTGCCTGTTACCATTGATCTGAGTGCACCCTTAGAAAGCTGAATGTAACACAAACCCAGGACATTTTTGGAAATTGTATGATCTCTAGCAACTTTGTGTGAATTTTTATACAAGCACTGTTTTATTAATTATATAAAATATAAAAATAGAAAAAAAAAGATTTTTGAGACTTATTTTTATTTTATTTTTATTCTCTTAACCATCCCTATGTCTTTTACACATTGTGGTAAGACATGATTAATCATTTTAACTGCTCTCCCCACATTAGGGACTCTAACACAGGGCCTTGCAGCAGGGCCAGCGCTCTACCGGTGAGCTCCATGCCATCTGACGTTTCCACTCATTTGGGTGCACAGTGAGTGGTACTGAGTACATTTGCAACGTTTCATAACCCTCACCACCATCTTCATAACTGTGTCCATCCTGCCGAACTGAAACGCTATTGGTAAATTACACAGTAATTCTCCCCGCAGCCCCCGGCAGCCATGGTCCTTTCTGTAAGCAGGTCAGTGTCTGTCCTTTAGGGACCGTCTTACTTCACCTAAAGTAACATCTTTAAGGTTGAACCACGATGTAGCAACTACCAGAACTTTCTCTTTTAGTGGTTGTGCTTCAGTGTGCTCCCGTGTACACAATCACTTTTAATATTTAATTTAATTTATTTAATTTCCTTTGCGTTTTTTAGATAGGGTCTCGCTAAGTTGCCCAAGCTGGCCTAGAATCCACTTGTAACCCAGGCTAACTGCAGACTTGGAATCTATCTGCCTCAGGTTCCTGGGTGCTGAGATTCTAAGTCTGGCTCGTGAAACTTGTATAGGGGAAATTTCCACCACACTAAAACCCTCAGAGAATAGTATGATATTCTCACGTGGACCTGTTGTCCACTTCCCACACAGTCTGATGGGCTCTTCTATGTGCTCCACTATACATATGAAGCTAATTCCAGAAACGCCATTAACCGGCAAACATTTTGACTAGATCTAAGAGATTTTTATTTATTTATTACTTTTATTTTATTGTATTTTATTTTGAGACAGAGTTTCTCTGCGTAGCCCTGGTCGTCCTGGAACTAGCTCTTATAGACCAGGCTAGCCTTGAATTTACAGAGATCTGCTTGCCTCTGCCTCCCCAGTGCTGGGATTAAAGGCGTGCACCACTGCCTGACTTCGAGGTTATTATTCTAAACATAACTAAAATATTGTTATCACATCTCAAGACATTTAATTATGATTTCTTAGTACAATCAACTCTCAAAACATGGCTCAAATTTCTACATAATTTTTCGTGCTTGGTTCGATTGTATTTTCTTATGTTTATAGCGGACCACTTGAAGCTTGCAAAGATCTGGCAGTGGTAGAGGGACCTGGTTCTAAACCAAGAGAAATGGGATTTGAGGAGATCAGAAAAGCTTCCTGGATGTGAAAGAATCTTTGCCATGCTGTCTATTCCACGCCGTTTGCTTACCTGTTCACTAGAGGCTGCCGGGAGAAGTAGGAACCAGCTGGGGAAGGAGGATTGTGGAGCAGCCCAGCTGCAAGCCTTGCGCCTCGAGAGGATTCGATTCGCTTGTGCTGGCAGTTTCGGAGTCCGCTTCTTCCTCCCCTAGGAACAAGTAGTAGCTTAGTTTCAAGCTGGGTCAGAAGGTCCAATCTTGAGTGCAAATGGAAAGGCTTCTGAATAAAACAGAAGGAACCATGAAATGAATGAGAGCCACTGGGTGGAGGCCGCTAAGACAGGTGCAAGGCTGTTGACGGGGCTGGAGAGATGGCTCCGCGGTTAGGAGGGCGAGCTGCTTTCCCAGAGTTCAGTTTTCAGTACTCTGGTTCTGCAGCTCACAACCGCCTGTTACTCCATCACTCCAGCCTCCAGGGATGCAGCTCCTCTTCTGCCTGCCCCGCCCCATATGCGTGAGCTCATAGGAATACAAATACCTTTCACATAAAAGGAGAAAGGTTAGAAAACAACATGAAAGGAGAGATTCCAAGGTTAAGATTTTGTATCTTGTTATTGTTGTTACTTTATATTAAATTAGAGTGCCAAACACAGGATACCCAGCATTTTAAGGATTCATTATTTATCTCAAAACCATATTAATGAAGACATCTATTCTTATTCGATGCATCTGGCACTCCTACCGTCAAGACTTGGGATTCCACAGGTCACACTGAGGATTTCTGGCCCCGGAGTTTCCTTCAATGGAGATAGTTTAAGCCTTTTTATTTATGTAGGTCACTTGATTTGTATGCCTAGTGAAACCCGTTACTTCGTAAGATAACTTAAAAAAATTACTTTAAAAAATATTTAAGTCAATATTTAAGGTGTATGCTATATAAATGGTAAAGTTATCCAGTGAAATGTAATGACTTCTAGCACATTTGCTTAAAGGCCCACAGCCAGTTTCACATCAACCTCCAACAAGGCTTTTCTTTTTGGTATGGACAGGCTCGGCTCCACGCTCAGGCACTCCAGTTTAGCTTCAGCAAAAGCAAATATTTAGATTTTAAAAGTAAACATTTGATCCAGGGTCCACCAGATGAGAAAGCTAATGAACTAAAGCTGCCCTGTTAGTTAGTTAGTGCCCCCAAGGCCAAGTCTGAGTCAGTTGTCTATTGACCTGGAACACACTTTTTTTTTTTTTTTTGGCTTTGCACAATCATATTTATAATTGTTGAAATAAGGGGATTTTTAAAAACTAGCCTCTTTCATCTACATTCCCACAGAAAGCTATTGAAAGCACAAGTTTCTGTTCAGTTGTTTTTTCCTTTGCTTTAGAAAGAAAAAAAAAAAAAGAAGGAGCCAGGACTCCCACCCCACCCACGGCTGGGTAACAGTCAATCATTTGTGACTCCTGGCGCAAACACAGGCATTCATACCTAGGAAAACGCTTTGCGATGAATGGGATCTTGGTCTCTACTAAAAACAAAAAAGTGGCTAAAAAGAGACTCAATTTATTTTCAAGTCCTATGGCTAAATTCCTTTAATTCCTAACTGGTGAAAATATTGGCCAGCTGCTGGGTTTTACTTGGGGTCAGAGTGACTTCTTTGGCTACGCCTAGAGGCGCTGTGGAGCACTGTTCCAGACTCGGACGGGGTAAATATTGGCCCTGAAGTACAATGTCCGAGGAGACACAGATAAGAGGACTGAGCAGTGAAGAAAGCCAACACCTACTTCTTCATCACCATGGCTATCCGCAGGCCACCATGCTCACCTCCATAATGATAATGGACTAAACCTCTGAAACTGTAAGCAAACCCCAATGAAATGCTTTTGTTTATAAGAGTTCCCTTGGTCATGGAGTCTCTTCACAGCAATAGAACAGTGACTAAGACAGTGTCTACCAGAGCTGTTGACTCTAGCCTGCAGAAAGGGACAGAGGCAGCATCTGATGTGGTAAAGGTGCAAGGGGCTCTCAGGAAGCCTGTTTGCTCGTACAGAGTTAAATTACTCCCAAGCGCAGCTCATCTCTAAGATCCTGACGTTTTACTCCTGCTTATTTTTGGAAGCATGTCTCAGAAGATGAAAGACGTTTCTGTTGTCTGGAATAGTCAATGAAGCCCAACTCACATGCAAATTTATCTTTTAGATGCACACAGTCAACTAGTACCCATCATCCAAAATATAGTTACGATGTGCACTTTATCGGCACCCTAGTGAGAATTAAGAACAAAGAATGTGCCAGTCACTTTATCAAGGAATTCATGATTCAGAGGATCTGAACTGGGTATTTAAGGTCACTAATTCAGCCCTGTGATAGGCATTTTATTATGAATTAATAGTTGTGCAAGATTGTTCTGGACATTGTGAGAAAACCAATGCATATGAAGATAAAAGGTTTAATATCTAGTTTATTGGCTTATTTTGCTAATGTAGCTGAGTATGTTTCCATAGATTGGGTTTTACTTCACTTTGTGGTGCTGAGGATGGACCCTAGAGCATTGTGAACACTAACAACCTTCTCCCATTGAGCCACACCCTGACCCTTTTTTCTCTTTTTGAGAAAGCATTTTATTGTATAGTCCAGGCTAGCCTCATACTTCAGAGACTCCTGCCTCAGCCTCCCCAGCATTGAGATGCAGGTGTGTGCCGCCATGCTTGGCTCAGAGGTGGGAGTTCTTACATCAAGAACAAAATGATGTAAGTATGGCATTCTGCTATTTAGTGCCGCTAACAGGTTCTGGGAGCGGGGAAGGCATAGTATCCAGCTGTACACCTGTGGTGAGCCCACCATGTTCTGATGGCTAGTTCAAACTCAGGGTAGCCTAGACAGCCCTTGATAAATGCTACAGAACACTGAACAAGACACAAACTAGTAAATATGAATGAAATATCTGTAAGGAAGGAGAGGGGTTGGCAGAGATGGGGTGGACTTAAGGGGCTGTGTATGGGGAAATAACTAGAATATGTTATATACATGTATGAAATTGCTGAAAAACAACATTTATTAATAAAGACATAACACAAGAGGAGATAGAGCCATGGGGGCCATGGGACAGAAACTGTTGATTGTTTCTCAATATTTGGTCTCCTTTTCCAGTAATTGAAGAATCTGTCATTGTTAGCCAGGTCATGTTGAAGAGGAACGTGTCAGATGGGGGAACACAAATCAAATAATCCCATACTATCACCAAATAGGGTATGCTAAGGTTTTTCTTTTTTAAAAGGGAAACTCATGGATCACAATGATGAAATATGAATGGAGTCTAACAATCAGGTGTGGTGTGCTCCTGTGGGCCTTTTGGTACCCAAAAGCCATGCCCGACCTGGTCCAGCCTCGCAAAGGCCATTGACTGAAGGAGGTTCATCATCACCTTCCCCTTTTGTCTAAATAAGAGAGTTCTAAACCCAATACAAAACTATATACAATAAAAACAGATATCAAGTATAAAAAATAGAATTACAGCCAGTATAAACAATATTAAGCAAGAAACAAATGCTAAGTGTTTTAATAATCATTCTATCCTAAGGAGTCTGAGTCTTGTGTTAGAAATGGCTTGGTTAGATCATAAGAGGAAAGTAACTACGACTATCTAATCTTCAACCCCATCAAAGGCCTGAGAAGGGAGATAATACTACTTGAGTAGGCAGGAAGTGCAATCAAGCAGCTTCCAAAATGTGCAGTGGATGACAGAGACAACTGGCTGCCTGGGCAGTCACCCAAAGTCTCATTTGCAATGTTGAAGCAACCAACTTTGGCTAAGGCCAGAGCAACTGACAGACCATTTTCAGAGGCAGGAAGATTTTCAAAACCATCTTACCCTGTCTTGGCAAGGTTTGGCCATCTTTTTGCTTGTCTTCTGTTTGTCCAGGACGAACATCATACATTTTGTCAGTGGTCGATGCATGGGCAGTTCCTTGCCCAAAGGCCAGTTTTGCCAAGAAGAAAACAGGCTCCAAGTGGTGTGTCTTCGATGGCGCTCAACATTCTCTCAGGAATAGATTGGTACTGCCAGGAGCAATCGTGTCTCACATCAACAGAATCCTAAGTTATTTAAATGCCATGGGCCTCTCAAAGGTCATTGGCTGAAGGAGGTGTCCATCATCATGTGATGCTGTGAAGCTGAGTTTATGTCCCTCCTGCGTTGACTCTAGAAACTCTCACTAGTGATGGGGTGATATTTGGAGGGTCCCTTGGGAGGTAAGTAGGTTAATATCATGCCATGATATGGGACCCTGATATTTGTCTCTCCACACACATTTTCTCTCTCTCTCTCTCTCTCTCTCTCTCTCTCTCTCTCTCTCTCCCTCTCTCTCTCTCCCTACACACACACACACACACACACACACACACACACACACACGAGCACACAGCAAGAAACCAGAAGACCATTATCTGTGGGCTAGAAAGACCAGGAGAAGCCCTTCCTGAGAACAGGAAGAGGTGGTGGGATGGAAGAATTGAATGCCCTTTAAGCCTGCGGTGCTCTTGTTACAGCCCAAGGTGGCTAAGAGACATTGTCACCAGGAGTCAAAGCTAACCTTAGCTTAGAGATTCAATTAACTGTAAGAGATACTGAGAAATAGTCTTGGTATTTGGGTTGTAAGCAGAACCTGAAGCGCAATGTCCCATAGAAACCCTTCTTAAGGGATGGTTGGCATATGGCCTTTACTTCTCTTCTTTTTGTTCTGTTTTCGTTTGACACAGAGTCTCACTATGTAGCCCTGGCTGACCTGGTGCTTGCTATGTAGACTAGGCGGGGCTTGAACTCACAGAGATTGACTTGCCCCTGCCTACTGAGTGCTGGGATTAAAGATGTGCTCCATCACTCCCAGTCTGCTCCCTTTCTCCTTTGTGCCTCTCTCCATCCTAATCGCTGGGAGTGTGGCCTGAGGGGGTCACATTGCAGGCTCTGACTGACTTACATGATAAGGTAAGGATCGTACCACAGGAATATTGAAGTTGGAAGCAGTGTGAATTGGAACTCTGAGGTATTGAAAGACTAGAGCCCTGGCTCGTCCATTCTCCAGAGATGCTGCTGATGTGGGATTCCCCTCTGTATGTTGTGAATATCATTGGTTAATAAGAGAACTGCTTTGGGCCTATAGCAGGCTATAGGGGAACAGAGCTGGGTGGGAGGGGGTGGTTGGAGGGAACTAAACTGAATGCTGGGAGAAAGGAGGTGGAATCAGAGAGAAGCCATGGAACCCCCGCCAGAGTCAGACATGTTGAAACTGCCAGTAAGTCACTGCCACGTGGCAATACACAGATTAATGGAGATGAGTTAAATTAATATGGAAGAGGTAGCCAATAAGAAGCTAGAGCTAATGGGCCAAGCAGGGATTTAAATAATACAATTTCTGTGTGTTTATTTCGGGTCTAAGCTGCCAAGTAGCCAGAAATCAACAAGTGGCCTCCTTGGAACATGCTGCTGTCTTGTTTAAGCAGTATAATTCAACTTGGAGGCTCCATTATTCTCAGTTAGACCCAATCCTTGCTGGTGAACAGCCTTTCCTTGGTGTCAGTGTGATTCCTCTTGGACCTGTCCGTGGATCCCTAGGTCAGCATGAGTGGCCCAGCCACAGGTACTTCAACCAGTCCCCCAAATAGTTGCCTGAAGCCCATTATGGACAATGTGACTCAGTTTTCACTCTGCAGGACGATGCTAACCCCAAACCATACCTTTTCATATAAAGGCACTTCACTGCCGTGATAGGGTCATTAGGTGAAGAAAAAAATCTCCGCTCTTAAAAGCTTTTAGAAATGTGTGTGTATGGATGTTTTGAATGTATGTATGTCTGTGGGCCACATGCCTGCCTGGTAACCAGAGAAGCCAGAAGAGGCCATCAGATCCTCTGGAACTGGAGCTTCAGATGGTTGTGAGCCACCATGTGAGTGCTAGGATTTGAGCCCCAGGCCTTTGCAAGAGGTGGCAGAGCTCTTAACCACTGAGCCATCTCTACCACCCCTGTTTTTTTAGATGTGTTGCACTGTGCAGCCCTGTCTGACCTTCAAACTTTGGTTTATCCTCCTGTCTTGACCTCTCAAGTGCTGAGACTCCAAGTCCATTCCCTCTGTCCCTGAGTTAGGGCCTCTTGCTACAGGCTGGGCAAGAGCTTGCTATGTAGCTACAGGTAACCTTGAGCCCCTGATCCTCATGGCTCTAGTGCTGAGACTATAGGCACGTATGGTTATTATGCAGTGTTGGGGAATTGACCCCACAGCTTTCTGCAGGCTAGGCAACCACTCTACCAATTGAACTATACCACCTGCCCCAAACTCATTTATTTTAATGGGAAAGTTCTATGTTTTATTCTGACCCATGCTATCTCAATGGCACGAGCAGAAAACCACAGCGACTGAAAGATGAGAGCGCAACTGTGTAAGAAACAGTGGGAAAGTCATCCGAATCTGTGTGTAAGGGTGACGTCATCAAGTCTAATCTTCTTACCATAGAAATAAGGCCTCCGTGTGGGTGGGGTCTGAAGACGGAACCTGAAGGACCTACTCTTTCAAAGAAATACTCTCCTATTTTTTATTAAATAGTATTTTTATTGTTTTTTATTGCACTATACATTTTTCTCCACTTCCCTCCTTTCCTCCCTTTTCCCATTCTACCCTCTCCCGTGACCCCAGTGCTCCCAACATCAGGAGATCTTGTCCTTTTCTCCTTTCTATATAGCTCCATGTATGTCTCTCTTAGGGTTCTCTTTGTTGTCTAGGTTCTCTGGGATTGTGAATTGTAGGCCGTTTTTTCTTTGCTTTATGTCTAAAAGTCACTTATGAGTGAGTACATATTATATTTGTCTTTCTGGGTCTGGGTTACCTCACTCAATATGATGCTTTCTAGATCCACCTATTTGCCTGCCTGCAAATTTCAAGATTAAGTTTTACCAGTGAGTAGTGCTCCATTGTGTAAATGTACCACATTTTCTTTATCCATTCTTCAGTTGAGGGGCATCTAGGTTGTTTCCAGGTTCTGGCTATGACAAACAATGCTGCTATAAACATAGCTGAGCACATGTCTTCATGGTATGAATGAGCATCCTTTGGGTATATACCCAAAAGTGGTATTGCTGGGTCCTGCCTCCGAAGAAGCAGTCTCCTTTATGGTGTTTTCTTCAATGTTTTTCCCACATTTTAGGCTGTTAAGGTGATCTTGCGCTAAAAGAACAACTAATAAAATTGTACCACAGGAAGTATTGTCTGGGACAAATATAAACTAAACATATAAGTGTATCGAAACATGTTTTAAGAAAAGGAACACATATGCAGAACCCATGGAGTTCTTTGGAAGACTCTACCAGTCTGTATATCTATCTGTCTGGCTTGGCGGTTACGTCATCTCTCCGTGACAAGCAATTCCTATTTGTTCCACAAGACAGTATCCATCTAGACTATAGAGTGCCAAAAAGTAAGTTTATAAATATGTCTTTTTCCGAAATAGAAAGTCAAACATTACTTCTTGTAAGATGTGTCATTGGGTTAAAACATTGTTATGATGGCTGGGGTCAGGGTGGGGTGGGGGTGCTGTTGTGTGGAAAGCAGAAGAAGCTTCCGGAGCCAAAACGGTGGGAGTTCTTCTCTGGACTGCATGATGCCGGGAAGTGTGTATCTGGTGAGAGCTGAGCAAGAGACAGCTCAAATTCTTCCTCCAGGTTCTCCAGCGCCCTGAAGTGTGGTCAAGCCGGGAAGCTGCGAACCAACCTCTGCCACACACAGCCTTTCTGCCAGGGCCCTCACACCTCCGACCTCTCTGTTTTCTTTCGGCCAGACCTGGCTTGTGTGAGGCCTGTAAACTTTAGTGTTTCTGGGAAGCAGCGGTGGGAGCTCCCAAACACTTGGTGACTTAAAGAGACAGGACTTGGAATGCTTGGCCAGCTTGGGCACACAGAGGTTTGTTTTGTTGACTTGGAATGCTTCAGCCAGCCTGGGCACACATAGGTTTGTTTTGTTGAAGAATCGAGTCTTGCTGGGTGGTGAAAGCCACGCTGGGAGAAAGAATGGGGCAATTCATCAGCCCCTGCACACACTGCCTCTCCCATTTTGTTCTGAAATCTCTTGAGAGAAGGATTTGTTCTTCGGCAGGGAGGCCCTAGCAGAGCGAGCACTCCCAGCGCTGAGAGGTGTGGGCTGAGGCAGAGCTGGTTCAAGTCCCATTTCCTTTTCTAAACACATTAGGTCTTTTTCATCATCCGACCTCCACAGAAAGGAAACCACAGTCGCTCCGACCCGGCATTCCCCTGGGAAGGCGTCGCAGGGTGCTTTCTCTTCTCCACTGTGCGCAGTTGTTCAGCTCGTGATTTTATCCCAGAGACATTTTGTGCTGCCTTCGGGCTTGTTGGGGGCTCTTTAGAAGCCTTTTCCTTGCGGGTTTCCTTTCTGTTTGCTCTTCTGTCTTGCTGTTGCGTGTCCTGCTACTGGGGTCAGCTGTCACCCTGAGGTGGGACAGGTCCTGCAGGCTGCACAGTAGAACTGAGATGTGACCCACTAACCAATCTGAGCCCTTTAGTACCAACAGAGGCTAGTAAAACAAGCCTGAGTATTCCTTGGGGACATGAAGTTCCCAGCTCCTCCTTGAAGACAGGGAAGCCTCACCCCTAGAGTCCTGCCAACAATTCTGACACTGTGGGGTGGGGCACAAACCTGGCTCTCAATGGTAAGATGGCTCCTTCTGCCCCCCAGATGCCATGTTATTGCTTCATTTTATTGACCTCAGTCTGTTTTCTTAAGATTTGTTTTTAAGAGAGAGAGAGAGAGAGAGAGAGAGAGAGAGAGAGAGAGTGTGCGTGTGTGCGTGCGCATGTGTGCGTGCATGCATGCATGTAGTACACAGCCTACCATTGTTAACTCAGAGGACTCTTTCAAGAGTTGGTTCTTTCCTTCCAACCTGGCATTAACTCAGTTGTCAGGCTTGGTGGCAAGCTCCTACCAACTGAGCCATCTTGCCAGTCCTCTATGGCTTTTAAAAACCCCGTTTTGAAAGCTTGGCAGGGGAGGGGGTAGGGATACACACTTGCAATTCTAGCTCTTTAATGTAAAGGCAGGAGGATCATGACTTTAAAGGCAGCCTTGGCTACTTAGCAAGATTAAGGCTAGACTGAGCAGTACAGGATTTTGTCTTTAAAAACAGAACAAAACAATGGCTGGAGAAATAACAGAGCAGTTAAGATACTGCCCTTCCAAAGGATCCAAGTTCAAATCCCAACACCCACTTTAGGTGGCCTTCAACCTTCTGTTTCAATTTTAAGGGCTCTGATGCCCTCTTTCCGCCTCCTCTGGCACTGTACTCAAATGGACAAATAAAGAAACACATAAATATACACATAATTAAAAGTAAAATTAAAAAATTCCCCTTTTGGCTAATTTCCAGTTTTGACTAAGCATAAACAAATTAACATGTAAGTTATCAATATTAAACATTAACATTAAATAACAGTATTAAAGTTATTCTTTGGTTTTAATTTCAGTCTGTATTTCTTTCTAGTCTATAATACAATGGTTTTCCTGGGCGTGCCACCCTGACTGTCTTCAAACTGACCCTACTCAGGAGAGAAAGACTCTTCAGAGGCCTTAACTCCCAGCCCTTAAGGAGAGACTGGGGCTTTTGGCTTTCCGAGCCCTCCCTCTGCTTTGAAGAGGGTCTTTTTCTGTGTGTCTCTGAATGTGTTTCCTCGCCCACAATGAATGCTTTCGTTCAGCTGCTGATTCTGTCTATGATGCTTCAGATCCCTCTGCTGCTACATGCTGTCCTCAGATTCTGTAAGTGGGAGAGAAGACAAACCCAACCAAGACCCCTAGACTGTGTCAGTTGATATTTCCAGATCATTGTTGTTATAACAAATCTTATCTACTTTTTTGAGCATTAGCTACAATTCCTAACTCTTTTAAAACTAGAAGCATCCATTTATTTTTATAAAAAATTATCAATTCTTTTATTAGCATGATTTAAAATTCAAAAGTTTTAATCTTTTAAAATAACTTTGGTAAGTCTATTGAGATGATTTTTCTCTCTCCCTTTGCATGGCGTGTAGGGAATTATATCAGTATATGACTTAAATTATTTTATCTTTACACTGAAAATAAATAGAGGGTAGGGAGATGGCTCAGTGTTTGCTCTGCAAGCACGAGGTCCTAAGTTTGAGTCTCCAGCATCCATGTAAAAAGCTGGGCAAGGCTGCACATGCCTTTGACTCTAGCATTGAGGGGCTGAGACTGGAAGGTCCTGGAAGCTCCCTGGCCAGCCAGCCTAGCCAACTGTGACTCTAGCATTGAAGGGCTGAGACAGGAAGGTCCTGGAAGCTCCCTGGTTGGCCAGCCTAGCCAAAAAGGTCAACTTCAGGTTCAGTGAGAGATGTTGTCTCAAGGTGATGTAGTAGATGTCCAATGTCCTGGTCCTCAATTCAGTATACACACACACTGCACGTGCTTTCAACACACACACACACACACACACACACACACACACACACACACTGCACATGCTTTCAAAACACACACACACAAATACACACACACAAACACACACACAAATACACACACACTGCACGT